GCTAGACTCGTCTCTAACTCACGACTCATATAAAGCATAATATGCATTATAATAAGGGCAACTTGCCTTTCTGAAACGGTTGGCAATGGCCAACCTGTACTATGTTTTAGACAGCAGTATAGAGTTTTCTAGCATAGTTTTCTTCTAACTGCTCATTAATGTTCACTCTTTCTTTCACCAACACTTCGACAAGTCCTTCTACTCTACGTGCTAAAGCTGCCCCACAACACTTACGAAATAAAGATTGGATGCAAGTAAAGTCGTTGGTGGAGTATATGGTGTAGAATCCTTCGGTGATCATATACAATTGAAACTAACTTGTGCGAGCTTCCAGTTTGTACTGACGAGAAAGTCATCCACTCGTTTAAGCTGGTACAGATTATACCAACCAGCCGATGAGCACGGATCTCTTAACCTTTGTCATCTCCTCTTACCGCTAAATGGACAACCAGGTCTTTCCAGTTGGGCTCCGTAATTTTATCCGTAGCGTCTTGTACCTTCTCCTTGGCCTTTTTCACAGCTTTGACAGGATTCAGCTTCTTCAGTACATCTCCGAGGTTGAGGGTCCTCTCTTCTTCAATCTCCTGTTCGTCATTGTCAACACGGCGCAGCAGACGGTAACCATCCATTTTAATCGGATTAGGCGGAGCCTCGTTGTCAATCATCGCCTTATCATTCGCGATCGTGGCAGGGAACGCACTGCTACTGTCGTGGAGAGTACCCGCAATCCCCAAGGCGAAGATGTAAGCGAGACGCATGAAAGTTGTTGACTGCACGAGTGCGTTGGCGTGGAGACCTGTCTTGAGGGGTTGTTAAAGGAAGTGAGCGGATTTCGGACTGACGAGTACACAGCAGAGCAAGTGCGCGGTTAGGCGTTATGCAGGTGACATCATCGATCGGGTCAAAACGTCGTATACATGTACGTTAAAGCACGGCGAACATGTAACCGTTCTAGAAAACCTAAACGTGCATATAGTTTTTACGAAGCATAGATATATCATCAAAATAGACTTTTTACATGACCATACTATACACTTTTTACGCTGTTACATGTTCCCTCTGATTT